CTTCAACCACGAATGTGACTTCAGGTTTTGTAGCTCCTTTTATTTTATTGTTATTATATATATAAATATATATATATTTTTTTTTTTTTTTTTTTTTTTTTTTTATTTTTTAATATAATATAAAAACAGTGTAGGTCAAAGTTATTCATATCTGACTCTTAAAAATTATCAAAGAGAGTACTAAATTTGAATTATTGAAATATTAAGACATCAATTTCGGATTCTGACATTCGTCTTTTATCATTAGTTTTGATTTTTTCTTTGAGAGATAACCAAATATATATATATATATTATCATTTTATGTTACTACTAGTACTAGTACTACTTAGGATGTACTCCCTCCGTCCCTTTTTAGTTGTCCACTTTAGAAATGGCACACAGATTAAGGCAACAATGATTAACACAATGAAGTTACAATTTTACCCTTATGACAACTTTTCATTTCAAAATTACAACCACTTATTTGAATTCAAGTGAAATAAATTGGAGGGAAACAACATACACTTTTACAATTTTCAAGAAGTGTAAATAAGGGTATAATAGGAAAAAATTTGTTGTCCTTTCTTGATTTGTCAAAATGGACAACTAAATAGGGACAACCAAAAAAGGAAATATGGACAAGTAAATAGGGACGGAGGGAGTATATGACAACTTTTCATTTCAAAATTACAACCACTTATTTGAATTCAAGTGAAATAAATTGGAGGGAAACAACATACACTTTTACAATTTTCAAGAAGTGTAAATAAGGGTATAATAGGAAAAAATTTGTTGTCCTTTCTTGATTTGTCAAAATGGACAACTAAATAGGGACAACCAAAAAAGGAAATATGGACAAGTAAATAGGGACGGAAGGAGTATATTTTATTCATCACAATTCATAGATATCATCCAAATATAAAATTTTTGTGAGTTTCGAGTCAATAAAATATTAAATTCTATCGAATTCATAAAGTTACTGCTTATGTCACTCTATATAGTTGATTTCTTGGAAGATGTTTTAGGGTTTGTGTTTTTATTCTTTCCTATAAAAGGAGTTGTGTCTCTGATTTTAGATCTGACTAATTTCTTGGGTTTGTGTGAAGCAAAGAGAGAGGAAGGAGGGGGGACAGAGAGAATCAAGACTGACAGAAGAGAGTGAGCACACGCAGTCGAATTGTATAAACATTTATACAATTGTCATTTGCGTGTGCTCACTTCTCATTCTGTCAGCTCTCTCAGAATTTAAGTTTCTCCTCTTTCTTTCTTTTTTCGTTTCCACCACCTACATGAGATGTTGAAAGGGTTCAAATAAATCTCGTTTTAAAAATTTATATATAGCAAACGTTGAATTCTCTTTGATGTTATCTGCCACTCATAGCTACTACTTCCATCACTTATAGCTATTCTTTAAAAGTTATGTTTCTTTCTTTCTTATCTTGTGATAGATGTTTGAAGAAAAAAGTTATACTAGTATATCTAAGCTATAGACTGATGGACATGACATTTCAGCACACCCACAATAAAATTAAACATAGTAGATATGTTTTTGTTTCATTGTTCTTTTCTTTCGGAAGCAAATTCACAATTTGAAGTTTATAGATTTCTGCAACAACCTCAAGCTATCACTACAAAGTGACCGCATTCATAGTTAAATATTTAGTAAACTTCTTTTTTTATATATACGAACAAAATTTACTGAATTCATGTGAATCTGTATATGAAATTCTCTAGTATGTATATTTGTTGTTGGTGGTGGTTTTGGTGATTAGACAGAAAAGAGGATGAAGTTTATCATAAGATGAGGTAAGAGTATGAGACTATGAGGTTTAGGGGTTTTACTCTTTTTTTTTTATTGTAAATAAATATATCTCATAATTATGTAATTAAATATTGTACTAAGCATGTCTTTTCATGTACTTGTTAGAGGACAATTGTAGATTTGGAAGGTACATCTCTTCCTATTCTGTCTTTTTTTTTTGTACAAATCTGGTAAATTTTTTGCAAAAATTTAGAAATCAATCACTATTCTAGATATCTAACAACTTTTTTATCATGTACTATTAACTTCATTGATCTATTTGTTGATTTTGTTCTTAAAAATTCTTGATTTGTTTTGCTTCTAGGAATCCCACATAGGTGGTTTATTGGACTAGTTTATTTAACAGGGTGTCAGAGTCAGGTTCATATGTTGGGCCCTGAGATAGATTGTTCACGCATCCAGTACCGGACACACGAATCATGTCGGGGCGTGCTTGAGTGATGAATGAATGAAGGAATCCCTAATTTTCTCAGCAGGTATTTTGATTAATTTTTTTCCATTTTTGTTAGTTGTCTTGATGGATTGAGTTTTAGTCATGTTATTAGAATGTTAACATTAGGTTTGGTAGTTAATTTTATTGAAGTATTTAATTAGTCTCGTAAGAGATTTGTATGATACAGTAGAAAATATATCAACTTCTTATTTTTGTTTTCATATAATGTTGGACTAAGATTAACTTAAACAAAGCAATTACCTAATTCATATAGTCGATCCTAATTTATGTAGGTATAGAATCGAAACATTGTTGATGTTGTGGTATAGTTTTCTTTATCATCATCAAATGTGTACACAACCTTACCCTTACCTTGTGAAAGTAGAGATACTGTTTTTGTTAGATCCTTGGCTCAAGTAAAACATATCAAAATCAAGTATGAAAAGGAAATATATTAGTAGTACTGAAGAAGTCATGCTGAAAATAATTGAGAAGAGAACGAACAGTAGCTAAATGTTGTTACTTATGATAGTAAAGTTGTTTATTCACTACCAATTTATTGGAGAATACATGTTAGATATATAGGAGTACATTTTTGTGAGGACTTAGTGTATTTAGCATACCAACTTGATGGAAGGAATAGTGTTTGGACATGATATATAAAGTTACACAATCATTTGTATAGCCGACCTCAATTTGTTTGGTACTAAAGTTCAATTGTTGTTGTTGAAGATTTAGCAACTATGACTTTTTACTGAAGATGGAGAAGTAGCAATGATTTCTCTCCACAAAATTTAAGGAATCAAAAATGTTTTCAATTGGAATATTTGTTATATGTCTGAATAATGTTAGCCAATTCTAATGTCATCCTTCAGTACACATAACTTTGGTTGCCATCTTTGCTAGTTGCACTCGAATAAGTACACTCACTTAGGTTAGCAAGATATATATTGTACAAGAGGAAATTTTCTTGATGTGTTTATCGTTATGATATAATCTCTCATATTATCATTTGGGACCTCGATTGACTTGTTTGAGACTAATGCATAGTTATTGTTCTTCTCCTGGTCCTAACATTATTGGTAACCAAGTAGTTCTTGCTTGTATATTGCAGAATCACAAGGTGAAGTATAGACATGTCGAGCATTTCATATTAACGCGATATGAAGAAAGGCTTTATGGATTAACATATTATCTGACCTTGTGTTGTCAAAACATTGATGTGTGTTGCCAATTTTCCATCAGTCAGCTAAATGTCACCCCTAGAATAGCTAGCTTGTTGGAGGCTTCTATACAAATCCTTGGTATTGTTAAGAAAATGATATCACGTACGGATCTAATACAACTACAAAGATAGCTCATGAGTTGATTATCTTATAAGATCATATAACGAGACAACAACTCACAACTCATGGATAATTGGAGAGTAGTTAGTTCTAATGTGGCGTGAACATTGAGCAACACAACAACGTAACATCGATGGATATGTTGCCTTAGGAACCATTTATCTGATGAGGTTTATATTTTGTTTATTCAACTGTTGGTTTATTTACATAGCATAGCATCCTCTTTACTGCAATTTTCTTTTTTTCAGTTGACACATGAATTTTGAGTGCAACATCTACATCCAGTTTTTACCAGGGCTAGCTTGGGATGATCAAATGCTCAAGTAAAGGGATATAATTCATTGCGCGTTGATTCAATTATGACAAGGTTAGTATTCAACCCGTTCGTCTAATTTTAATCCCTATTATGGATTGAACTGGGGTCTTTCGATCGGGAACAGTCTTTCTACCTTTGTAAGGTAGAGATAAGTTTTGTTGTTCTCTACCTTCCAGAGACCCCATTCCCACCCGGTGTCCAAATACTATATTGGAGCCCTGACTAAATTCGGATCACTCATTGCAGGGCTCATTCGGGGGTGGTGCTCCCAAGAGGATTTTCTCTATACCCCGGGCTTGAACCCGGCCGAGACCTCTAGTTAATATGGGAGACTGGGAGTTTCGATTTTGGTAACGTCTTTTTCCTGCTCTTTTTCTTTTGGTCATAAAAAGGATTTTATAGAGATCCCTAATGACCAATCCTCGCACGAATTGCTAAGGTGACGATAACACCCGAACTTTATAATGATAGAAGGCAAGAATATTACTTTCGGGCCAAGTCCCATTAATTCATCATAACAATATCGTGGAAATTTTGCATAGACCCAACAATGGCCTTTCAACATATGTAAAGGGTTCAAAAAGTTACATATTTGGGTGATACCTAGTAATGGTTACATTTTTGTACATGAGTGCCATTTGTGATCTTGCTAGACCTATATTCTCTTTAATGACCATATTCAAATATAAGCAGATGCCCAATAGAATCTACGAGTTTGGTCAAACTCGATAACTTTGTATCAAAGTCAGTATATGTTTATTAAGAAAAATAAAAAGAATAGTAGGTTAACAAAAGAATCAAACTCTCCCTCAACGTTGAACAATAGAAATTAGCTAGACCTATATTCTTTTTGTGATCTTGCTAGACCTATATTCTTTTTAAAGATCGTATTGAGCTAATTTTTTTGGTGTGCAATCGCAGGCTTGGAAGATGTTCTTTTTCCCACTTCACCCGATCAATTGTGTTCTTACTTAAACTTCAACGTGATTCAATAGTTGGAGGTGCTCAATCCCTAAAGCACACCACACTCGTATTGGCTTGGACGATTGAAGATAATAATTACCAACATTTGAACACAAGAAAGTACTCCATCCGTCTCTAAATAAGTGTCATCTAATTAACTAGGAAAGAAAAAGTCCCAGGTTCCAGATCCTAGGAGTCAATAAGCATTTGGTACGTGTATTCATGAGTGCTGTTTTTGGCCTTGGAGGATTAGGATCAAATGAAACGTTTCATTTTCTTTTTCTTGCTAATTATATGACAATTTACATGTCAAATATATATTAATTTATGAACTGAAGAAAGTGTTTGGGACTTCTATTTATGTTTTTCTTTTCTTGCTTTACATGAATTTAGGCAAAGAGGAAATGAATATACCTTGGACTCTTCATTTTTGCATTAAACAACCTATCTCTTTTTGGATCAAGGTCAGACATGACCCTAAAAATATCGGCCTTGACCTCGAATAAAAAAAAAAGACTTGCGTCTGCCGGGAGTCGAACCCGGGTCTATTGCTTGGAAGGCAATTATCCTAACCGTTGGACTACAAACGCCTTGTTGTATAACATATAATTTTTTACTTACTAGTTTATTAGTAGGACTTTGGCCATATGGAACATATTTTATCATTAAATATGATAATGTCAACATTCACATTGTATATGTTTGTGTCTAAAACACCAAAATTTATCAAAAAAAAGAAGAAGAAGTATATGTTCGGGACATTAGCTATCTTCCTCCAACATCAGTATCAGGTAACTCTATTCATCAAGGGTTGAACAAATGAAAATTAGTCATCTAATAATGTTGTTGTTTTCGTTGGAGTTTAAACCTAAGATCTTCTGATTCTCAATTCATTTCATTGACCACTAAGTGACACATTTGTACATCATATTTCATCTAGTGTCAAAGCACAATATTAAATATATTTCAATGTATTAACAAAACAAAATATAAAGCAACTTATTTTTTTCTCTTTTTTTTTTTTAAAAAAAAGAAGCAGCAAATCAACAAATAGAAGCATATCTCTTGTGGAAGGAGATCGAAATATTCCCAATAAATACTTATGAGAAGAAATTTATCCAATCAATGGCTTATTGCTCAATGGCGGATCCAAAATTTTCACTATTACGGTTCGAAAAATAAAAATATAGTACGTGAAGCTTGAATTTAAAACCTCAAGGTGAATTCTTGTGTTTAAGAAATTCAAAATCTCTCTAAATATATACAAAAAAGAGATTTTTTTTACCTTATATATAGTAAAAAAAATTGTTGGATAAATTCGAGTGAACACCCTAGCACCCCGTAAATCCTCCCCCGTAGCTGGCCCATTACAGTTAAAGTCCAGGTACAAACAAATGGGCTTCGATTCAGATGGAATAAAAGGAGTCCAGGCCCAAGCCCACCCAACAAACAAGCTATTTCTCCCTCATCGTCTACATAGAAAAACTTTGTTCTCTTAATATAGCTAAACCTTAGCATGCATGCTTGTCCCTTCGGGGACATCCGATAAAATTGGAACGATACAGAGAAGATTAGCATGGCCCCTGCGCAAGGATGACACGCACAAATCGAGAAATGGTCCAAATTTTTTTTCTCAAACAAATCCCCTTATCTTTTTAGAGATCGTGTTGAGCTAATTTTTTCAGTGTGCAATCTTTGGCATGGAAGATTTTATTTTTTTCCCACTCCACCCGATCAATAGTATTTCACTTACTCTTCCACGTAACCCAAATTCTCAACCTATCGATTGATAGTGAAGCTGCTCAACCACTAAAGCAAACCACACTTGTTTTGGCTTAGCAATTGTTTTGTCAATTGCTTTCTGAAAATGGGTGCATGAGTGTTGTGAAGATAATATTTACCAACATTTGAACACAAGAAAGCACTATCTCGTCTCAAAATAAGTATTATCTTAGCGAAATTTCGTACTACTCTATATTCTTGGTATACTAGCTTGTCGACTTCAAAGGAGCTATTATTTTTATTTTTAAAAAATTATATAATCATGGTATTTTGGTAAATTTGAGTACAACTTGACCAATCTTTAGGGTATTTGTCACCTCTCATTAACATAAATATCAAGTAACTCTGTTCACCAAAAATGAACAGATTTCTATAATTAAATAGAACACTAACTTGGTTTAGTTCCATAATAATTGATAGTAGTTTAAGAAGATTGTCAAACTTAATTCTATAATTCAATCATTTTCTTTCTTAATTATTAAAATTCTGATTAGCTTTGAATTAAACCTGCACCGTTCATTTAAAAAACCTCCAAAGTAATAGTCAAAGAAAACATTAATTAATATAAATAATGGGCTGTTAATACTAAACTTAAGCTCATAATATATTTATCAATAAAAATGGTCACATCTGATCTAAATATCTCACCAAAATTTATTATTGACCACAAAAGAAGTTTGGTCTTACACCTATACACTTTCTCTATTAATTTAATTTAATTTAATAAATTCATGAATATTTCGATATTTTTAGAAGTCTTAAGAAAATGATTAAATGTAAACATGATGTTTAGTTTCAAAGTACAAGGTATCATTGTTTCATTGAGTAATAAGTATAATAATGGAGATTATTTGTCTCCTTAATTGGATTGTCATTTTCAAGGTCTAGCTAATACATGAATCCAATTTATATTATATTATAATGTCATATAAATTTGACCCATAAATATGTTATAGGGTGGCGATCCTTCTTCGAATTCTATTAATATGGAATATTTTACGTATCAAACTACTCTTTTTTCTAATTGACTCATAGGGTTGTTTTTTAAGACAAGTTTGGTAGGGGATGATTGTTATAATTATTAGTTCATTTGTTTTAATTTATATAACATAATAAATGAATTTTCGTTATAAAGGGTAACTTAGAGCCTGTTTGAATTGATTTATTTTAAATACTTAATTTTAAGCCAAAACAATTTTAAAGCACTTTTAAAGTGTTGAAGTGCTTATAAGCACTTAATTCTAAGTTAAAATGATAAAAATAAGTCAAAAACCTCGTGAAGTTTAATTCCCATTCTAAAGTTTCCACTAGATATTATAGTATTCTATTATTTAGATACCATCCTCCTCTTTGTAAAGTTCAATTTTTGTCCTCCTCAAAATTCAACTCTATCTCGTAAAGTTCAATTATGGCTCTCAAGCTTAAACTAGGGGTGTGTTTGGTACGAAGGTTTTCCAATTTTCTCATGTTTGGTTGGTGAGTAGAAAATATTTTCCGAAAAAAGTTTTTAGTGTTTGATTTATGAATGAAAAATGTTTTTGAAAAATTTCTTTTATTTTTACTAGAGTAGAAAATAATTGTTGAAATTGAAAATATTTTTTAAAAACAAACTTAAATTTTTTTTTGGGGGGTGGTTGGGGGGGCTGGTTTGAGGGTAGGGATCAAATAAATTGATTTTTTCAACAATTTTTTTTTAATTGGAAGTTGGAAGAGAGTTTTGGAAAATGTTTTCCAAATCAACTCATTTTCCTCAAATTTAAGGAAAATGACTTCCCTTCAAAACTTAAGGAAAACATTTTCCTTCGTACCAAACACACCCCTAGTTTAAGCTTGAGAGCCATAATTGAACTTTACGAGATAGAGTTGAATTTTGAGGAGGACAAAAATGAACTTTACAAAGAGGAGGATGGTATCTAAATAATAGAATACTATAATATCTAGTGGAAACTTTAGAATGGGAATTAAACTTCACGAGGTTTTTGACTTATTTTCTCATGTTTGGTTGGGTTAAATGTTTTGGAAAATGTTTTCCTTAAGTTTTGAAGGGAAGTCATTTTCCTTAAATTTGAGGAAAATGAGTTGATTTGGAAAACATTTTCCAAAACTCTCTTCCAACTTCCAATTAAAAAAAAATTGTTGAAAAAATCAATTTATTTGATCCCTACCCTCAAACCAGCCCCCCCAACCACCCCCCAAAAAAAAATTTAAGTTTGTTTTTAAAAAATATTTTCACTTTCAACAATTATTTTCTACTCTAGTAAAAATAAAAGAAATTTTTCAAAAACATTTTTCATTCATAAATCAAACACTAAAAACTTTTTTCGGAAAATATTTTCTACTCACCAACCAAACATGAGAAAATAAGTCAAAAATCAACTTGTTTTCCAAGAAAACATTTTCTAGGAAAACATTTTCCAAAACATTTAACCCAACCAAACATGAGAAAATAAGTCAAAAACCTCGTGAAGTTTAATTCCCATTCTAAAGTTTCCACTAGATATTATAGTATTCTATTATTTAGATACCATCCTCCTCTTTGTAAAGTTCATTTTTGTCCTCCTCAAAATTCAACTCTATCTCGTAAAGTTCAATTATGGCTCTCAAGCTTAAACTAGGGGTGTGTTTGGTACGAAGGTTTTCCAATTTTCTCATGTTTGGTTGGGTTAAATGTTTTGGAAAATGTTTTCCTAGAAAATGTTTTCTTGGAAAACAAGTTGATTTTTGACTTATTTTCTCATGTTTGGTTGGGTTAAATGTTTTGGAAAATGTTTTCCAAATCAACTCATTTTCCTCAAATTTAAGGAAAATGACTTCCCTTCAAAACTTAAGGAAAACATTTTCCAAAACATTTAACCCAACCAAACATGAGAAAATAAGTCAAAAATCAACTTGTTTTCCAAGAAAACATTTTCTAGGAAAACATTTTCCAAAACATTTAACCCAACCAAACATGAGAAAATAAGTCAAAAATCAACTTGTTTTCCAAGAAAACATTTTCTAGGAAAACATTTTCCTTCGTACCAAACACACCCTAGATACTAGTTATTTTACTATTGAACTACCAACCTCATAAAGTTCAATTTCGATCCTCAAGTTTCAACTAAATATTAGTGATTCTATTATTGAGATACCGATCTAATAGAGTTCAATTCCCGACCTTGTGTTTTCAACAAAGGTTTAGTGATCAATGCAAATGCCACCTTTCACTCTAGCATTGGAATAGTCTGATTTGTGAAAATGACATTACTCATTTTTTATATCACTTGGTAGAATTTGGCTGGTTGCCCTACATAAATAATGTTGGATTATTAGTTTCTGACCATGGTGTTGGACCACAATATTTGATGTCTTTCAAGTCTGTTCTTCTTAACTTTTAGGCCTCACAACTTGTAGATAGATGAGTCACATACTGATCATTTTAACTTGTAGTATAAATTTTGTGCAAATAGTATTCAATAATATTGAGTCACATGGCTCACTAACCAAACCTATGACATATATTGTCCGC